TTTTTCATTGTCAGGCTCTCTCTGCAGGAGGGGGAAGGGGTGGTGGTGTTGGTCAGTGTCTGTGGGGGCAGACAATTTTTGTGTTGCCTAGGGCAGCACAAGACCTAAATACACCACTGCATGCAACACACATCATGGTAATAAGTAATAAATAGACATAATATACACTACCTTCCCATGGACCACCGCATGTTCACCATGTAAAATTACTTTTCCAGGAGCAGATATGAATAAGTCTTTATCCATTTCTATGTAGTTCTGCCAAAAGAAAATATTCTTAGTCAAAGAACAGTCTGAAAACTTCAATCTAAACTCAGCTGATAAAAATCTTCTATTGATAATTCCCCTTCACAAAAGTAAGCTCTAATATAAGAGGGAGAATTACCTTAATCTTTGCTCCCCTGAGAACCAGCACTCTCCCCTGCTCCAGACCCAGAACATGGGCAAACCCTGTACATCCCTATGTACCATGCAGGATCACTACAAGGGAAGGGAAGGGACCAGGGAAGAAGGGTGACTTCAGAGGGCTGGAGGATGGCTGCAGGAACAAGGAACAGAAAGCATTTCTGTCTATTACATGTCCCATAGACTGAATGGCAAGGGAGTAATCAAAAGGAGATTTCTTTCAGCTGACCAGAGTGAACTTTAAAGTGGAGCTCCATCCAAAAGGTGGGTCCCCTTTGGGAGGCAGTGCAGGTTCTCGATTTTGACAGGTACCCACTCCCACCGCAGTCTTCTAGGACCTGTCCCAGAAGACTGCAAGATCATTCACAATGAGCAGCACTGCTTGCACATGTGCAGTGGACACCTGGATGTGAAGCCACAAGCTGTCACAGCCATGTGCTCCCAGTTTAGATGCCAACGCTAGGGACAGAGCTCGGCCAGTGAACCTGGCTGGTGTGAAGACACTGCTGGATCATAGGACAGGAGAGTGTATGTTTTTTAAAAGTCACCCAGTACAATTTTTGTAGCTGCTGACCTTTTTATTATTTATTTATCTTCTTATTTTTTTCACATCATATTTTTTATAACATCACTGTATAAATCATGAATAATTTCATATCTTTATAATCAACAGATGATCCGCTACATTTCGACGGCCTGTCACCGTCAAATATTAAAAGGAGAAGTACAGCCAAAGCTCTGTTGGATGTGTTTTTCTTGTGGATCAGTTTGTTCAGCACTCCTGTGACCTGTTTTCAGCTGACAGTAGACTGAAGCCCGCTGTCGGCTGACGTCACTCTGCCGGTTCAGGCTGGGGAAAGATCCTGACTTCAAAGTCGGGATCTACCCCAGAGTTTGGAGTGGCACCTGGCTCAGCCTCTCAGTGAAGCTCTGACAGCCTGAGCCAGCCACTCCCTTCCCCTCCACAGGTCAGTTATTTTAACTGACAAATGCATCGTCATGCAATGTTGCACCCAAATTAAACGTTTGGGTGCAGTTTTTAGTTTTTGCGCTATGAAAAAAAAAAAAAAGACCGACAATTTTGAGAAAAAAAACAATATTTTGGACTTTTTGCTATTAGACATGTCCAGTAAAAAAATTTTAAAAATCAAATTTCATCATAAATTTAGGCCAAAATTTATTCCGCTCCATGTCTTAGCTAAAAAGCATCTCAATACGTACAAATTAATTGGTTTACATGAAAGTTATAGCGTTTACAAATGGCAGTATATATACTGGAATTTTATTTTTTTTTTTATTTTTACTAGTAATGGGGGCGATCAGCAACTTATAGCAAGACTGCGGCGGGCATTCTGACACTGGGGGGGAACTCACTTGGTGTTACTGACATCCCCAGTGACACCAATACAGTGATCAGTGCTAATAAAAAGCACTGACACTGTACTAATAGCACTGGGCAGGAAGGAGTTAACATCTGGGGCAATCAAAGGGTTCACAGTGTGCCGTTTTACATAATGTGGTGTGTGTGTGTGATTCACTGTAAGCACACTGCTTTGCATGGCTGTGCACAGCCATGAAAAACAGCATGCAGGAGCTGACAGGGAGGAGAACTGCTTTGTTTACTAACTGTTCTCCACCCACCCCCGTATGAGATCCTCGGTTATCACTGGCCGGGACCCAGTGATTGACGGCCGCAAACCGCAGTGCAGGTAGGGTGTGTGCGCGTCCCCTACCCAGAAATGCAAAATCACGTATACAAGATTTGGCGCACCTGTGCCGCCCTGTAGAAGTATATCTGCTATAGGGCAGACGGGAAGTGGTTAAACACGACACTCATACAGTTGCATGCTATATTGCATCCATGTAAACAAGTCTAAGTGCCCGGTCACACCGGTTCAAACTGAAATCGCATCTAATGAATGTGAATGTCAGTGTCTTAACATCTGCAATTTCTAATGTAGTTCTTGCATTACTTTTTCTGCAGTTTTGTTGTGACTTCACATACATAGAATATAATGGAAATTAAACTGCAACTTGCAAGAAATTGTTGAAAATCTTCACAAGTAGTAATAAAGTGTTCAGAAATCGCACCTGAAATCACGCTGAAATTGCACAGAAAATCGCAGTGGTGTGAACGGTGACTAAATGTGTGTTGCATCAGGTGCAGTAAGAGGCATGCTTCTGTAGAGATCTACCAACAACTGTGTAAGACAATGGCCTGTCTGATTGGATGCAAACTGACTTGATAGATGAGACAGGCCCTAATACGACCCAGTTTTGGTAGTTCCACTCACACTGTAAAAAAAATAAAAGTCAGCAGCTACAAAAACTGTAGCTACTGACTTTTAAAAACAGCCACTTACCTGTCCCTCAATCCCGCAGTGTCCTCCCCGCAGCCCATTTCACCAGCCGTCTGGTGTTCCAGGCGCCAGCATCTTTAGTGTGGGCACCGGGCTGTGACAGCTTGTGGCTTCACAGCCGGGTGCCCACTGAGCATGCGTGAGTAGAGCTGTGCTTTGTTAATAGTCTTTTGGGACCTGTCACGTGTCCCAGAAGACTATGACAACTTCCACTTCTGATTGACTAAGCAGTAGACTGCACAGTGGCTAAATGGTTAGCACTTTCGCCTTGCAGTACTAAGGTTGTTGGTTCGAATCCCAACCACGGCACCACCTGCCTGAAGTTTGCATGTTCTTCCTGTTCCTGCATGGGTTTCCTGCAGGTACTCTGGTTTCCTCCCACATTCCAAAGACATGCTGGTAGGTTTATTGACTCCTGTCTAAATTGGCCCTAGTATGTGTATGTATGAATGTGAGTTAAGGACCTTAGATTGTATGCTCCTTGAGGGTTAAGGACTGATGGGAATGTACAATATATATATGTAAAGTGCTGTGTAAATTGATGGCACTATACCTTCCGTGCAATGCATGATTTGAAACCATGATGGCATAATGTTCTACCCACAGTGACCTTTGAAACTGTGGTCCCAGCTCTCTTCATGTCATTGACCAGCTCCTCCCTTGTAGTTCTGGGCTGATTTCTCACCTTTCTTATCATCAGTGATACCCCACGAGGTAACATCTTGCATGGAGCCCCAGTCCGAGGGAGACTGACAGTCGTCTTTAGCCTCTTCCATTTTCTAACAATTGCTCCAACAGTTGATCTATTTTCACCAAGCTGCTTGGCAATTGCCCCGTAGCCCTTTCCAGCCTTGTGGAGGTCCACAATTTTGTCTCTGGTGTCTTTTGACAGCTCTTTAGTCTTGCCCATGGTAGTAGTTGGTGTCTGACTGACTGTGGGGTGGACAGGTGTCTTTAAAGAGCTCAGACAGGTGCTACTAAGTTAGATTAATGAGTAGAGGTGGTGGACTTTTTAATGGCACAGTAACAGGTCTTTGAGAGCCAGAATTCTTGCTGTTTCTTAGGTGTTCAAATACTTATGTTCAGCAATGCAAGACAAATAAATTCTTTAAAAAATCATACAATGTGATTTCCTGAATTATTTTTTGTAAATTCTGTCTCTCAGAGTGGGAATGCACCTACAATGTGAATTTCAGACCCCTCCATGATTTCTAAGTGGGAGAACTTGCAAAATCGCAGGGTGTTCAAATAATTCTGTTCCTCGCTGTAAGTACCTGTAATAAATAAATAAATAGGCGATCACAGCAGAAGTGGGAGCAGGTACCTGTCAATTTTCGGGTACCCGCTCCCCAAATATGTCAATCCTTAATGGGTAGCGGGGGACCCGTCTTTAAAGCGGAACTTCCCTAGTTGGGTGGAGCTCCGCTTTAAGTTGTGTCAGGTGTGGTGCCCCTAAAGCTGGCCATACATTATACCAGGGGTCTCCAAACTATGGCCCTCCAGGTGTTGAGGAACTGCAAGTCCCATGAGGCTTTGCAAAATTCTGACAGCCACAGGCAAGACTCCCAGAGGCAGAGGCATGATGGGACTTGTAGTTCTTCAACAGCTGGAGGGTCATAGTTTGAAGACCACTGGATTATACAATTTTCCTCTTCAATTTCCTTTAGATTTACCTTCAACTATGTAATGTAAGGGCCTACCTGATTGCATACAAATTGAAAGTGTTTAGATCTGACCACATATTATTAGATGGTTTGGGTAACTCTAAAGGAAAATTGTACAATGTATGGCCAGCCTAAATATAAAACATGTCAAGCATTGCTAAGCACAGCATGTGCGGAGACTACAGGACGTGCCAAAGATAAAGGTTGTTATACGTACATAGACTGCACACCAGTGACAAGACATCAGCCACAGATCCTGCTGTCACTTCGGATTCCATATACTTCCAATGCGATCAATAAACTCCACGGTGTCTACACATTCCTACACCAATCAGCAGGCGCACAGCCCGACTTCTAACCAATCGGATTCAACAACTGCACTTCCGTACATTCCTCCAATAAACAGAGACCCCGCCTCATCTCTTCCTCCAACCAGAGATGACTTCGCCCTAACAGGCAGCGTCGCACGGGAACGTGTCCAATAAGTGTAGGTTGTGTGAAAATAGCCAGAGCGGGGGGACCAATCAGTCGTAGACTAAAGCATGAGGCGAGTGGTGGGCGTGCCGTAGTCATGGCGGCCGCTGTAGTGAGGTGGTCGTTATGGAGAGCGGTGCGCGGATTGGGGCAGAGCATTCGCCTGTATAATGAGAGTGGGGCTGAGGGCAGGTGAGAGGCGGCTGGGCTGATGTACACGGACTGTGGTGTTGTGGAGGGTCATATGTACAGCCAGTCCCAGGGAGTGAAATGCTCCTTTCCCGGCACGGCCAAGCTCCAATATACTGCCATGTTCTTACTGATCATGGGCTCCATTCACTAAACTTTACACATGGTTCAAGAAGGACTTCAGCACTTCAGCACCTAAAGAGTTACCCCCCTTCATGACCAGGCTAGTGTTTGCGATTCAGCGCTGCGTTACTTTAGGGCTCCTGTACATGGGATGTGGAAAAATCTTCTGAATGATGGAAAATGTAGGCCAAAAACGTCAGTTTAGCCGCGTTTGCATACTGCCTTTATGTGCGTCTGCGTTTAGAAGTGGCTTTTTAAAGCTCCAGTCCCCATAATCCAATTTTTTTTTAATTCCCCTGTGATTGTTCTTGTACATTTAAATTAGAATACTGTTAGAACAGTATTCGTGCTGGCTAGCTGAACCCCTTCATGCTGGCGCCTCCCGGCCCTTTAAGGGTTTCAGATGTCGGGAGGCAGAGTGGGGATTATGGTCATGTGACCGCTGTGACGGTGGTCACATGATCGGGAAAGAGGAGATCGAGACCTTTCTGTGAGTACTGGGCATGTGTGCTGGGAGCGTGCTCTCAGCACATATGTTTCTTTTTTAATAGAATGCAAATGTGCGGCCGCTCGGCGTCTAGGCCCAGACGCCGGGCGGCCGCACATTTGCGTTCGGCTGGCGTGGAGAGGTTAAAATCTTTAAAAATGTACCTGAGCTCAGACGCAGGCAGGTGGCCATTTATGATGTGAGCATCTGAAGCCCTCTTTTTCTGGGACTCGGTGCACCTGGCTACCCAGCATGCACCTCCCGATCTCGAGCCTGCGCAGTAATGACACTGTGGGGTACTTTGTGTTTAGTGCAGGTTGCCGTAGCAATGGCGGCGTCACGGAAGTACCCACCCTGTTGCTATGTCAACCTGTCAATCACATTACATTATTAGGCTTCTCAAAGACTCCTGGGATAGATGAGGCCGATATCCCAGGAGTCAATGGGAATCGCCTAATGACGTCATCACCTAGGCGGCCAGGACAGGAAGTGCCGCCCAAAGAATTATAATAAAGGTATTTAGAAGCAAACAAAAAAATAATTTCCATTTTGCACTGTACTTTAGAGAGGCATTTGAAATATTTGAAGTTTAAAAAAAGACTGGAACTCCACTTTAAGCTAACCTCAGGAGATCTTCCCAAATGCCCAGAATGCACTGAAAACCAGTAATAAATTAACTATGTCAGACATTTTGAGAGGAATAGAGAGAGCAGAAGCAGAGCGAGCAGTATGTGTTGAGATGACCTGTCTTTTCTGGTTGTATTCACTATGGATCCCATCTGGAGCATAATGCAGCACGGTTTACCATTTTTTTTTTCCTTCACGTGAAACCTGGAACTGACTGCACTGGTGTACCGGGTCCATTTGAATACATGGAAAACGCTTTGCATGCATTTCTGATGATGAAAAAAGGCTCTGGACAGCATCTAGACATGGAACAGTTAAAAAAACGCAGCTAGCCACATTTACAAGCGTTTGGCATTTGAACGCTGATAAAATCTACTCCTGAACACTAGTTTGGTGCATTAAAAAAAAACAACTGTAAACTCAACTGCCTGTAAACGACTGTGTGTACATGGACACATTAGGGCTAGTTCATGGGCTGGTAAAAAAAAAAACGCAGAAAAGCTCCTGAACGTCAGTTTATCAGCTGTAGTGTACATGAGCCCTTACCTGACAATTTTCCCCCAAAAAAGTTGAGCTTTTGGTGGTATTTTATCAACTCTGGGGTTTTTTTTATTTTTTTTGTGCTACAAAACAAAACATTTTTTTCAATTTCTGCTATAAAACATACCCAATTAAAAATATAAAAATCTAATTAATAAATTTAGGCCAAAATGTATTCTGCTACATATTTTATGGATGGTTATTGGCGACTTATAGCGGGACTGAAATATTGAGGTTGACAGTCTGACACTGGCACTTTGTGGGAACCAGTCACACTTAATACAGTGATCAGTGCTAAAAATATACGCTGTCCTTGTACTAATGACACTGGCTGGGAAGGGTTAAACATTTAGGGCGATCAAAGGGGTTAACTGTGCCTAGCCAGTGTTTTTGTGTATACAGTATGCTGATTTTTCTTTGTAATCTGCTAGATTTTGTTTCCCTGCTTGTTTACATAGGCAGAGCTGTGTTCTGTCAGTGTCCTTGGAGATCAATAGGTGCTGGCACCTGTAGATTGGCTTCTGGTGTGTCTGATCACAGCAGAAGCGTAGCTCGCCCCTGGAGTAAATCTGCTGTAGTGCTGCCTTTAAAGTGATTTAAAGTAGAAGTCCAGTCAAAAAAAATCTAAGCCCAAACCTCCTCCCACCCCTTTTCTAAACCTATTCTACCTAGATTGTAAAAGGAAAGCTGTCTATACTTCCTTCTCTGATGCTGCTCTGGTCCAGTTACATGATCTCTCTCCAGTTGGCGGCTTCAGTGAAGAGAGATCACTGACAATGGCCGCAGAGCCTGTGTGATGATGTCATCCATAGGCTTACTATGGGGCATCCTTTGTTGGCTGTCCCTCTACACTGAAGCTGGCACTGGGAGCTAATCATGTTACCAGAACAGGGAAGTATACAGATCTTTTCTTTTACAGGGTAGATAGATTAGGCTTAGAATGGGGGTGGGAGCAAGTTTAAGTTTAGTTACAGTAGATTTTGCCTTGCCTTCCATTTTAAAGCCCTACTCTGGGAATTAGACAAAATTGGACCTTGTAATGGCATATGCCAGAATCAATGAACTCTGAACAGGATGTCATCCAGTCACAGCCAAGCAAGATGGCCAAAGATCCCAAACCCGGAAAAAGACCAGATGATAATATTGACGCTAGTGAAAAAGTTTACGGACCAAACTACGGAACTAAGCTCTCTTATCCTTTACAGCCAAGGAAACTGCCATCTTAGCCTCTTTTTGATCTGCAACTGTCTTAATGCTGCACATGTGATTAGCTATGACACCAGCGATTTGATGGTGTGTCAGTTGGGTCGAGAACACAAGCAATGGTGACCGTTATCCACCATATGCCTTGATTGTAACTGTTTAAGGAAACTGTTAAGTCCATTGGTTTATTTCCACTTTAGGTGTCTATTTTTAGCCCAGTGTCTAATTTTGAAATCTTAGCTGAAGACTTAACTGAAAATAACTGTCACTTTTTTTTTCTTTTTTTAAATGTAGTATCTTTACTTTGATGTTTTAGCTTTGTGTATTGAGCCTTCTACCTTTACTGCAGTTAAAGGGAACTGGTCACAAGTGAACTGCCATTGCTGATTGCATGAATGAAGACTGAATAAAACTGATACAGTTGTTTAAAAGAAGAACTGCAAATAAACTACACCCAGCAATGTAGATTAAACATATTTGTTGGTTTTTTTTCTTTTTTACTCCTGTATGACATGAAGGAATAAATATAGCTGAGAGAGAGTCATAATTTTAAACGTAATGCATATAAATGGTTAGGTAAATTAAAGTAGGGTTAAGCACATCAATTTAAAGTGGAACTTTAGGTAAAATGAAAAATGGGTAGAAAGGAAGAATTTTTAATGCAGAAGAGACATGCTTTGCCTCTTCTGCATTAAAGCTACCTATCTGCCTGTCCACCCCTGGACATGGAGCCATGCAGGCGCAGCTCACTATACACATTTGGCAATACCAAATTTGATGGAACGCCTGCATCATACCTGCCCAGCCAATGACAGCAGCCAGCATTTGGGACCTGGACGCCCAAAGATGTCAGTGGCCAGGCGGGGAGCTCCAGAACAGTGGATCGGAGGTAAGTATTGTTCCGCTTTAACAGTTTTCCCAAACAGTTATATTGCAGGTATACCATGAATAACTGTTACAGTTGCTTGTGCTCTCAACTGAGCTCTTAAGCAATCAAATGGCTGGCGTCATAATTGATCACGTGCAGCACCATGGCAACTGCAAATCAAACAGAAGCTAAGATGGCTATAAAGGATAGGAGGGTTTAGTTCAGTTAAGGTGGAGCTAAAGGCTACATATACTGTAAGTCTGCTTAAAACACCACTTCCACCCTCAACCTACCTATGCTATGTACTGCTGGTAAAAAAAAGAATGTGTGTAAATACCTTCATTGTACCTACTTGCTACTGATGTGCTGCCTGATCTTTGTACATTTGCAGCCAAATTCAGAAAGAAAATTACTAATCTGGAGCAGAATGTATAAGAAGGAAGCACTTTCACCAAATGTGTATATTCTGTTCGTTCAGTAGTGCAAGTAAAGTCTACTTCTGTTTAAAACACTGCTCCCCCTGCTCCTACTTAACCTGTATACTGCTGGTAAAAAGATGTATGTCAGTTCACTCCGGTGCGTTCACGTGACGCACAAGCTTCAGTTCCCCTGTATCATGGAGCACTCAACAATAGATGCCATGCTGGCTTTTAGTTCCCATCTGTTGTTGGCACTACCTCCTTCCTCTCCCCAGCAGCAGCAACAGCTCCATGACAGAGGGGAGCTGGAGCTTTTGCATCTCGTAATCGCACCAGAGTGGATTGAAAATATTATACTGTATGTGGCAGTGGCCAAAAATGAAATGCTCCTTGGTTTGTGTATGTTGTAATTTTTATAACACGTATGTGATCTGTGTGCAGGCTGCAAGTAGTACATACAAAAGTACTAAAGTTTGAATTTTTTGTATTTTCTGGACATTGTAGTGTTGGTCCAAGCCTACATAAAAAAGAGCACACACGTTCCAATGGCACTCAGTTTAAAGAATGTAGTCCAGTCACTGGTGGTCACAAGTTCGACTTTTCTGCCTGATTTGCACAGAACTGCACAATTTAGGGATCCAGGCAATTGTGTTTCATGAATTGTGTGATGGGTTTTTCTTTTTTTTTTTTTTTTTTGCAGATTGGACGAGTTTACATAAATACATTTTGTTTTCTCTATAGCACCTCATTCTAACTCGGGTGAATAAAGTCTACAGTGCTGTAGATGAAACACCTTGGTGGTTCAATCACCTACCTTATTCCATACCTTGTTTGTGCTTTTCCATTAGACAAGTACCTGATCAGATACATGCCTGCGTATATCAGCTTTCACACCATGGAACCTGAGGTTGGGCTATGCTAACACCGATCCTGAATTGCCTAGTAGTCATTGAGTATATGTCTAAAGTAGCATAGGTAGCTGCAATGCTTGTTTTGCCTTTACTAGAGGACAGCTTTGTAAACTAGGATTATTTAAATCCACATAGTTAATCAGAATCACATTTTTCGATATAATTATTTACTTTAAAGCAGCAGGGTTGCTTCAATGCCCCCCTCCCCATCTCACTACTCTTTCACTCCATTCAGCAAACAACATTTTCACTTGCGAGAATTAGTAGAAAGTGCCCGAGATAAGTTCTATCGCAACTGGTACTGTAGCCCATAGAAAGCAGACAGCTTATTTTTTTTTCCATACAGTTTAAAAATGAAAATGTAAAATCTGATTGGCTGCACTCCAGTCGAGACAACGTTTGTTTTACTTTTTCTTAAAGTGTTGGTTAAACCTGTGAGTGCATTTTTTTATTAAAGGTGAGTTTACAATCAAGCTTACCTGTAGATACAATGAATAGCTTAAACTGGCACCGTTTAGGAGATATTTGCATTGGCAATGGCTGATGACATCACCCTCCCATGCACAGTGATGCTGTGCTGTGGAATGCAGAGCACCATGCCGAGACCATGGCTGCCGTGCGCTTGCATTACAGCCTGACTAAAAAAGCCGGGGCCTGTGAACCCAGAAGGAAGACTGGGTGAAGATGGAAGCCTTTGCAGTGGTGACACTGTGCTGCCGGAGGGCTTTGTTTCTAAGGTACATTTGTCATAATGTGCTCAAATGCGGTGAATACTAGCACATTATGGCATAAACCTGAAGGGGGTTCAATTTTTTTTTATTTGCTTAAGCTTATTACCACTTTATTTACCCACAATGATAGTGGATATGGGCATAAGGGGCATGTTTCCTTTCCTTCCTCTGTGGTAGCCTGGTGAATAGTCTAGCATTGTGAAATGAAGGTGGGGGCTAGTCCTCAGCCCTGTATAAGCTCTAACTAGAGAAGCTTGGGCTTCTTTGCCTCCCTTTTGTTTGCTGTCAAGCAGGGGCAAAAGGAAAGGTGATTGTGTACCACTAAAGAGGGGCATTGAATCATTATCCTTGCAGTGCGTATAGTTTACCTAGAGGGAGAGAGAAAAAAAAAATGTCACGCTCATGCTAATTTTTTTTGTGTAACAGCTGTCAAATAGAAGCTACAGCAAAGAAGTTCCCAAGAATATACACAAAAACTGGAGATAAAGGTACTGCTATTAGTGATGTAGGACAGGAACTCTCTTTTAAATAAAGGCACAGACGATATAATCTGTATATTTCTCTAGGGTTCTCTAGCACTTACACAGGAGAAAGAAGACCTAAGGATGACTTGGTGTTTGAAGCACTGGGAGCTACTGATGAACTGAGCTCAGCTATTGGGTAAGTAGTGCTAATCTTATCCTTGTTTCCTTTATGTACATGTATGTAAAAAAAAAAAAAATCTGAATTTTAACAGTATAAAGTGAACCACTACTTTTTCTGCGTTCCAGTGCAATTTGCAGACCATTCAAATTAATGAACTTCAAAATCGCACTGCATGGGAATGGGGTGCGCATCCCTGCGTGAATCGGCCCTAAATGTATGCCTGTTAATGCTGTGCAATTACAGGTGGTGGTTCTTGAAATACAGCAACAGGTGCATAAACAATTGATGTGCATGACTCCATTCACTATGCACAAAGGGAACCTTTCCTGAGAAAAACATGGAAGCTACCACTGCTGACTTCTCATTCAGTAAATTAGAAAAAGTGTTTCCAAATAAAATTATGAATTAATTAATTAAATAAATAAATAGCTTGGCCGTTAGACTGGTGCTATAGAACAAAAAGTTGTACACATGGGCTGACAGTTGGCCAGTTCCTGCTAAACTGGCTGATGTTCAGCCCGTGTGTACTGGGCTTTAAGCTGGCCATAAACTATTCAACCTGATTTATACAATTTGTCTAGGGCTGCATTCACAGGTAAGCATAGCAGAAGCGTGCATTTCTGCCCATGTTTTTGGAAACATGGAAAAAAATGAGACATGCTTGCAGTGCCATTATTTCTTAATGGCACCGCAAATGCAGGTATCTCTTGCGCACAAAAACACAGGGAAAACACGCAATGCAAAACACGTTTGGTTCAGTGCCAAAAATTGGTATTTGAACAACTTTGCGTATTTGTCACACAATAAGGCCACCCATTCAAGTCAATGGGCTGTCACGCTGAAAAACACAAAACACGATGCGTCGCTACACTTGGATGTGAACATAGCCTTAGCTTTACCTAAACTGTATAATATAAGGATAAGCAATCAATTCAATATAATTTATATAGGCTCAAGAATACAAATTACTTTAATCATATCTCTCCATAGAGGCTTCAAGAGGCAGAGGTCATGGTGCTGGTCATTCTGTTCTCATTAGTTTCCTCTGCTTTCCAGACTGGCCAGAGAATTCTGTCTGGATGCTAATCTCCAGTTTGTGTCTGAACTTGAGAAGGTAATGCCTTATTATTGCACCTGTTCATATTTTAACTGTATACAGAGATCTGTTTGCCACCTAAATAATATGTAAACCTTATCATTAAACCTCATATAAGATCTAACATGTTATTGTAATTTCAAAAGCCATTCAGTCATTTTAAATCTACAGCTTTTTTTTTTTTTTTAAATAAAACCTGGTGATCCTGCCATGTGGGTCCTTGTTCAGGTTCTAAGGGGTATTGGAAATGTTGGCTGTTATGCAGTGCAGTGTGTCAATGGGCAGCTTGCTTCTGAATGTATAGTACAGAATAGTGTCTAGGGATGCATTGATGCCATTTCTTTTATCGGCGAGTACCGATACTTTACATCAAGTACTTGGCGATACTGATTACCGATACTTTGCAGCGCGATTTGCAATAATGGATGCAAATTGCATTGCAAAGGTTAGCATGCGATTTGAACAGGAGTTCAATTCCTGTCCAAATCGCATGCGGTTTCCCCACTGCTGCTGTGTGAACCCAGGCTTGTCATAGCCTGAGTTCACACAGGAGCAGTACGCAAAAGCTTCCTGCAGGCATTCTATGCTGAGTGATAAGAGAGGAGAGAAAGCGGCGGGGATTTGAAATCCCTGCCACTTTCTTTCCTCTTCTTGCAGGGATGACTGTTCGGGCTAGAGGGCTATTGATTGGTCAGCAACGTCACATGGATGATGCTGACCAATCAGATGCCGACTAGCCTGTACCGTCATCGCTGCAGGGAGAGGAGTGGAAGCCGTGGGGATTTCAAATCCCCAGGCCTGTGAAGCAGCGTTCTCTCCTCTCCTTGCAGCGATAACAATTCGGGCTAGACAGCATCAGTGATGGTGCTGCTGACCAATCAAAAGTCCTCAAGCCTGAACTGTAATCCCTGCAAGGAGAAGAAAGAAAGCTTTCTCTCCTCTCCTACCACTGAGAATAATGGAGCATCTGCCTCCATAGTATACATTAACACAATTAACGCAAACGTCCATTAATTCAAATCGCACCACAAAGAATCAGTATCAGTGAGTACTTCACCGAAAGTATCGGTGCTCGTACTCGCCGATAAAAAAAAACGGCATCGGTGCATCCCTAGACATTATTCTGTACTCCTAACTTCTGTACCTTTCGGCTGCCTTTAATACGGTTGACCACCCCTCCTGTGAATAAAAAAAAAAAAAGCTTACTCCGTGACTGTGCTCCTTGTTAGTTTTCATCCTACCTATCCAACTACACCTTCAGTGTCCCTTACAATTCTACTTCCTCCTCTTCCTTTCTCCACCAGGGTCCCCCAAGGTTCTGTTCTTGGACCTCTCCTATTCTCGATGTACACCTCCTCCCTGGGTCAACTGATAACCTCCCATGACTGTCAGTATCATTTCTACGCTGACAACACCAAAATCTATCTCTTTACCCCTCAGCTCACAGCATCAGCCTCCTCACACATCACTAACTTACTGACCGACATATCATTCTGGATGTCACACCACTTCCCTCAAGCTCAAATCTATCCAAAACTGAGCTTTTAATATTCCTTTCTGCCGTGCCCCTTCCCCTGACTTCTCTGTCAAGATCAGTGGCACAACTATGTAACCATCAACCCGTCCCCGCATGCCAGGGTGCTAGGTTTAATCCTTGACTTTGACCGATCCTTTTGCCCCCACAGCCAATCACTTTCCAAAGCTTGCCGTCTCAACCCCCGCACATCTCCAAAATACACCCCTTCCTACCCAATGACACCACAAAGCTGCTAATTCACTCCCAGGTTATTGCTCCTCGACTACTGCAAATCCCTCCTCATAGGCTTACCTTTACATAGGCTATCCCCCCTCCAGTCCATCAAGAATGCCACTGCTAGGCTCATCCACCTTACCTGTCTGCCAACCTTCTCTGCCATTCCCTGCATTGGTTGCAACTCAACTAACAAATTAAATTAAAAATACCAACAATAACTTACAAGGCTATTCACAACTTGGCCCCCAGCTACAACACTAACCTATTCTTAAAATACCAACCAAATCGCTCTCCATTCCTCCCAAGATCTCTTGCTCTCTAGTTTCCTTGTCACCTCCTCCCATGCTTACCTCCAGGACCTCTGAGCCTCTCCCATCCTATGGAAATCCCTACCCCAATCTGTCCAATTATATCCTACTCTGTTTACTTTTAGGTGATCCCTGAAATATTTCTCTTCAGAGAAGCCTATCTTGCCTCCACCTAACAACTGTACATGTACTTTATCCATCAGTTCACCCCCACAGCTTATTACCTTTTGTATCACATGGTGCTCCCCTTTTAGATTGCAAGTTCTAATGAGCAGGGCCATCTGACTCCTCTTGTATTGAATTGTATTGTAACTGTACTGTTTGCCTTCACGTTATAAAGTGCTGCGCAAACTGTTGGCGCTATATAAAACCCTGTATAATAATAATAATACCCTATAGTGGTAATTATATCACCCTATGTTGGTTTTCTTTAACTGCAAGGAGGTCTGGGACCTGGTCATGCTCTATGGCAGAGGTGCCTGGGTCAGAATACTGGCTGAAAAAAATTTCAAATTCTTTTTACAAATCCTGTTAAGATCTGTGTATTTGGAACCAGGCCTGGTTCTGGTAGCAGGGGGAGGATGCAAAGGGGAAAACACAATAAGTGCACATTATCTTGAAGTGTGCTTATATTTTAATCAAGTCTTGAGTATTAAGTATTTTCGAACAGTATAATTTTTATATCCCATCCCATTTTCTGAAAGTGAATAAATACAAGCTTGTTTGCAATTGTTCATAAATGTGTGCAGGAGTGATGATATGAAAAATATCCCCACAGATACAGTGCGTGCTGCAGGATGTTGGCTCAAACATTGCGACGCCTTTGTCCTCTGCCAGAGAAAGCCACAAAGGTAATGTTGGCATGCTTCATTTTAGGAATTCCCTTTTTTTTAAACTTTAAGTACAATTTGTAATTAAAGTGGTTGTAAAATCTGAAGGTTTTTTTTACCGTCATTCATTCTATGTATGAAGGTAAAAAAACCCTTGTGTGCAGCATTCCCCTAAAACGTACCTGAGCCACATCGCAATCCAGTGATGTGCATGACAGTCTCTGCTCTCCAGGACTCTCCCTTCTTATTGGCTAAGACAATAGCAGGAGCTGCTGTCAATCAGAGCCAGTTAGCCAATGAGGGGGGAGGGGACAGGGCCAAGTCACGGCTCTGTGTTTGAATGGACACGCACAAGTTAGCCTCCTTGAGTACCCCATAGCAAGCTGCATGCTCTGGGGGCAGGAGGGAGGGGCCAAGAGCCCCGGCGGAGGACCCAAAAAGAGGAGGATGGGGGCTGCTCTGTGCAAAACCACTGCACAGAGCAGGTAAGAATGATGCGTTATTTTTTTAATTGCCTTTACTATCACTTTAACTTAAAATTGTAAATTTTTTATGGGCATCACCTATTTCAAGTGTGGCTTCGGTTTTGTAGTAAACTGTATGATTGAAAGGCAGATAATAGGCAATAGGAATATTGTCTTTCTTCTTTTTAAGAGCTATGTCACGTTAGTGATATTATTGCAGACAGCAACTTGCAAGGCTATTTGTGATATTGTCCCTGCTCCCGTGGTGTCATTCCCTCAAATGGCCTAAATGCTGCAGAACATTATTTGCTTCCTCACTGGCAAAATCAGCAGATTCTTCTGTAGTGCAAACATAGGGCCAGGTGAATGCTTGCTTTACTGACGAGTTGCCAGCAACAGGATGATTAATGTGACATGACTCTAACTCTGCTAAATTATACAACCTTTAAACACTTTATAATAGATGCCATCATTATTAGCTTACTTGGTTAAAGAGAGTCAGAAATGGGCATAACAAAAAACCAACAACTCCAACTTGAACCCAGAATTATGAAGAGAGGTAACGTATATCATATTACAGTGGGGATCGAAAGTTTGGGCACCCCAGCTAAAAATTTGTATTAATGTGCATAAAGAAGCCAAGGAAAGATGGAAAAATCTCCAAAAGGCATCAAATTACAGATTAGACATTCTTATAATAAGTCAACAAAAGTTAGATTTTATTTCCATCATTTACACTTTCAAAATAACAGAAAACAAAAAAATGGCGTCTGCAAAAGTTTGGGCACCCTGCAGAATTTATAGCATGCACTGCCCCCTTTGGCAAGTATCACAGCTTGTAAACGCTTTTTGTAGCCAGCCAAGAGTCTTTCAATTCTTGTTTGAGGTATCTTTGCCCATTCTTCCTCACAAAAGTCTTCCAGTTCTTCGAGATTTCTGGGCTGTCTGTCGCGCACTGCTCTTTTAAGGTCTAGCCATAGATTTTTCAATTATGTTGAGGTCAGGAGATTGTGAAGGCAATGGCAAAACCTTCAGTTTACGCCTCTTGATGTAATCCCCTGTGGATTTTGAGGTGTGTTTAGGATCATTATCCATTTGTAGAAGCCATCCTCTCTTTAACTTCAGCTTTTTCACAGATGGCATCAAGTTACCATCCAAAATTTGCTGAAATTTTATTGAATCCATTTTTCCTTCTACTCGTGAGATGTTCCCTGTGCCACTGGCTGCAACACAACCCCAAAGCATGATCGATCCAACCCCATGCATAACAGTTGGACAGAGGTTCTTTTCATTAAATTCTGTGCCCCTTCTCCAAATGTACCTTTGCTCATTCCGGCCAAAAAGTTCAATTTTAACCTCATCGGTCCACAGAACTTGTTTCCAAAATGCATCAGGCTTGTCTATATGTTCATTTGCAAAGTTCAAACGATGATTTTTGTGGTGAGGATGTAGAAGAGGTTTTCTTCTGATGACTCTTCCATGAAGACCATATTTGTACAAGTATCTCTTTATAGTGGAATAGTGTACCACAACTCCAGTGTCTGCCAGATCTTTCTGGAGGGATCGTGCAGTCAAATGTGGGTTTTGA